GCTAAAGAAAAGAGAGGAAGGGAAGGAGAAGAGTTGTGGTCTCGGCTAGCTTACCCACACTAACTGCAGCAATGACTGGGGATGCAATGACCGACAAAGTCACTCCTCCTGTGATAGCCAAATTCCTCTTGTGTTTGGAGGTTTTCCTTCCCTCATATCTGCTGTGAATCTAAGAAGAAGAAATAAAATTCAGGTCAGCAGGTTAGGATATCAATCTTTTTGCTAGGGTGAAAAAAGACAAGTGAATATTCTATCTGTATTAAAATATATCCCCCACCCACCAAGAGGCCATCTTACTCCAATTTGAACCTAACTCAGACCAGGGTGACATAAAGTAATACAGAAAAAGTTAATCCAAGAAGAGACAAAATAACTCAGAGGAGTGAGGAAAAGTATTTCACCTTTAAGTCACCGAGACAAACCAGGCCCAGGATGCTAATAAGAACTTCCAGATCTCTCGGGGTTTATGAAAATCCATTTAAGAAATTAAGGTTATTTTTATCCAAGAACCAGCTGGTTTTCAGGAAGCTCTGAAATATAAGCTCCTCCCTATTTCCTTCAAACCTTTACCAGCAAACCTGGGGATGGAACATACATAGAACTCAGCATGTCTTACCTTCCTGCCAACATAAACAGGAATGCCGATGACCATGGCAGGAATGGCAATGCCAGCAATGAGGGATATCCCCACTGGAGCACCAATCAGTGTGCCCAGCTGCCAAAGAATTTTCTTCTTACGGCTCCACGGCTTCTTGCCCCAGAATGTGCAGCCAGAGGGGCTGCAGAGGAAACATGCTGAAGTTAATGGTAGTATTACAAATGCAGCTATTGTCACCAGAGGGCTTACTAAGAGCAAGAGCCTTCTTTTTCAACAGGAATGATTAATAGTTACAAGAGGTTACAGGAAATGAATATATCATATGAGGGGGAGCAAAAGACAAGGTCAGATTACTAGAGCTCTGGGCCCTTTACTTTTTGTAAAGGTACGCTTCCAGCCTTGAAACCTCTTTCCTTTCTTTTCTGTTGAACTCTGTCCTCCTTAACCTATCAACACTGATTCCGCTTCCTTGACTGATATACTACTTGGGATCCTGAACAACCTACACACTCGATATCGCATCCAAAAGCACTGTGCCCGGCAGCTAATAAACACTGATTTGCATAGTTTTCTTGGCATCTGTCCTACCCATATCCAATAGATAGTGTAAACTATGTTCCTGGGAAAGGACATAAAAAGACTTTGTCACACCCTTTGTGTCAGTTTCATATTCCGAGTTTGGCTACTTTTATACCCAATCCTTATGTGTTCAACCATTTTTGCTCACTCCCTTTGTCCCGTCTTCTTGACTAGATAGGATAAGCAATTTTGAAAGTAGGGATCATGTCTTACACACTCGTGTCACTGATAATCGGTATAGTGTCAGTACTCAATGCCTGCCATATTGGAAATGAAAATGCTTCATGCACACAATGAATGTTAAGTTGGTAAATATTAACTCCTTCAGGACAATATTTTAATATTCAACACTGAATCCTTTAGAATCCTTTAGGAAGTCATTACATGCAAGAAACTGTAAAAAGGTAAGTCCGACCTTAATAAACTTATGCAGTTTAGCAAAATTAGACTTGTATATGAAGCAAAAGTAGTGATGTTTATTAACAAACATTTAACGAATGCCAATATAGAAGAATGAGGCAGAAAAAGCTGGGGAAGGCATCATAGACAAAATGGCATTTAAGTGACCTCTGAAAGGTGAATAAAAACTGAACAGGTTGAGATAAAAAGAGGTTGCTGGGAGGGCGATGTGATCAGAAAGCATTCTGAGCAGAGGCAAGAACATAAACAATTATGAAAGAACATGAACAATAAGACAGCACAGAGCAGACACAGGGAACAGCAAGCCCAGGTTACCTGTAATATATAGCATGTATAAAAGCAACATGGAAAAAGCGAGAAAATTAGATGATGACCAAATTGTGGAAAGACTTAAAGCCATGCTAGGGAAACTGAACTCTATCTGGAAGGTAATGAAAACAGTCCCTGGAAGTTGCTGAACTCGAAAAAAACATGGTCACAGGAGTGCTTCAGAAGAACTTTTTATAGCTTCCTTACTCTGTAATGCGAGGACAGACAACTATGTCTCTTTGACCTCCTTTTTCCCCTCAATCAGTAAAAGAACAAGATTATAAAGCAATGGACACATTTGCCTTCTCACCTGAGGTAATGCAAATCTGAGATCTCTTTCATACAAAGCCAACAGAATTCACAGCCACACACTGCACAGGTCATATGATTACAGCTCCCATCATTCATCTTGATAATGTAAGCACTGCATCGTGGGCATGGTTTGATGTCATCTGCTAAGAGGGGAAGGAAAATCGGGTAGAAAAATATCCCTGGTTAAACCTAGTTTGATTTATTATTCCTAGGAATATATATAAAAAATGAGGAGGCAGTCAAAAACTCTCAACTAAGAATTCCAAATTGTGCAATCCACTTCACTGGAAGGCTGGCTATGTCTAGACCTCAGGAATTTTCATAAAATGGATCCTGTCTCATATTGAGCTGCCTATCCCCCAAACTGGCATCTTACACAGCACTTAAGCCACACTCTGAGCGAGAATACTTCCCAAGAGAGAAAGATCGTTCCAAGAAAAATGGAATTTCATCAGCCAATAGGCTGGCAGAATTCAAAGCAGAGTCCTGCAGGAGGAACAGTCTGCAAAAAAACTTTAGCTCAAGAAACTCGTTTCTCAGTCTCAGTAAGTATCATTGTGATTTGCTGTTAACAAAACCCACAGACCCTTCCCATGATACTTTCAAATTCAAAACCTAAATATAAGTGGGTATGCTATGTAGCACACACCTAGTAATTTTCACAGCAAGCTAGGAACTATCCTATTAAAATGACAATTTAGGAGATTATGCTGTGCCAGGAAAAAGTAAATGGTAAAATCTTTCCTACCAGCCTCTCCCAAATGACATCAGTGAAATAAAATACATTTATAAAAGGCAATAAACCCAGTGAAATTTTTAAGTAGGTTTACTCTGACTTGCCAAGGTTCCTCCTTTTAAGGTTAATCATTAATCCATACTAATATTATTTCCTTTCCTTAACTCTGTACCCTACTTCCAAAAGCAGTGGTGCATTTAAAGCTGGTAGGAAAATAATAGAGGTTTAATACTAATTAAATGTCTTTCTGCTTACAATGAAGGTTTTGAAAAAGTCCTTAGCAGAAGGACCTAATTACTTTCCAATATGAGACATATTACTAAGAAGGTAGAAACTAGAGGGGCTCCTGGGTGGCTCAGTCGGTTGAGCGTCCGACTTCAGCTCAGGTCATGATCTTGTGGTTTGTGGTTTCGAGCCCCGCGTCGGGCTCTGTGCTGACAGCTCAGAGCCTGGAGCCTGTTTCGGATTCTGTGTCTCCTTCTCTCTCTGCCCCTCTCCCACTTGTGTTCTGTCTCTCTGTCTCTCAAAAATAAATAAATGTAAAAAAAAAATTTAGAAGGTAGAAACTAGAGAATTCAATTTTGTTGCATTCCAATTTTACCAATTTATAGGTTGGAAAACCTATAGTTATCAGAGAGAAAAGCTACATATCAAATACAACGTTGAAGGTATTACCAAATATGTTCTGCTCTCTGATCCCAGGAAACACTTGGTTATACATTAAGATAATCTCTCCTAGCTTTAGGCTCATGTTATGAAATATCAAATAAAGAGAAAAATGAGAAAATGCCAACTTATACCTGGTCCAGATTCTTGCCCATAACTGAGACCTGAAGTGTGCTTGGTCCGTACTCGCAAAGTCTGTGCCCTCTGCTGACGGGCCATATCGCATGTCTGATTTGGATGCCATATTTGCTTGCAGTGGTAGCAGAACTCCGTTTGGCAGCCTTCCCTCTCACAGGTCAGCTTTGGGCAGCTGGCACAGCCATAGGCAATAACAGCATAACTGGGTAAGGACACAGGAAGAGAGATCAGTAAGGTAAGAAAGATCGGAACAAGACAGACATTATTCATCAGTGTCAGTGGGGTAACACTGACACTCCTTGTCACTACACATGATATAGAGAGAAAAGAGTACACATATCACACATAACATATACACACAAGCATGCCGAACAAACTGTAAAACATATTCTGTGTGAGAAAGTAAATTTCTTCTTGAGATTCTAAAAAAACACAAATCACTTATTTGTGAAAAAATAGGGGAAAATACCATAGGTAGCCTGAATTCTAGCACATATTCAGTCACAGTTCAAGCTGCTTTAAAAGCAGTTTCCCACAGCAAGTTTCCTAAATTACAGGGTACAAAACTATATCCTTTTGATGGTTTACTATATTTAGAGAGATTAAAATTTGTTTACATTAAAGGACAGAACATTTGTAAAACAAGCTATAGCAAAAACTAAAGTATACTTTTTTATTTTTAAGTTCCACAGTGAAGTTGGTCTGACCACACACAGCCTGAGACAAGAGCCACAGATGGATTATGACCAGCTTCTCCTATTGAAAGCTCATTTTATCTTTCAAACTTTTTTTTTTTTTTTTTACTCAAATCTATACCTTGAAATATCTACTTCCTTGACAGGCTCCAGAGTCCAAGAATATCATTCTTCTACCTTACTAATTAATACGGAATAAGGTTATTATCTCCCTCTCCTTCCTTCTCTCTTCTAATACACATTCTTAGTAAAGATGGGCAATTCAGAATCTATCTGCACCAACATCAACTGTTTCTTATAATTCATGTTTATTTTCCAAGAATTCTCTCTCACAATCCAAAATATTAATAACTATTAGCACTTTTGACTAGTTCTAAATATGTCAACTAAATGTTCAGATTACCCTAACAAGTGAATACTTGTTTAAAATAAAATAAAAAATTAAGTAATTTAAAGAAACAAAGAAGGGAAAATAGCAGTTGTGAAAGTTCAAACAATTTTTAAACAGGTCAATGACTGTAGGCTTAGGTGTTGCCATTGGGCTTTGCTGTCCCCTATTCCACTTTCTCTTCCAATTGCCAAAGACCTTAAACAACTTTTATGGAAGGCTAATAAAAGTTTTCTTGGGTTTCTTCTACTGTTTATTTGAATGTACATTAGATGTTCATAACAGCAACTCAAGTTCTCAGGTTTATTATAGATTCTGCAAGTTGATTTGAGAATGACATTGAAGGTATCGATGACATATCATCTATGTTACATAATATAGTCTGTATTAAATCTCTTCTCAGAAACAGCAAAGGGGTCAATGTATGAATGCAAATGATTCATATCCTGTAGGAGTTCTGAGCAAATTTACCCCACCTCGCTGCAAAATAACTACTACAGATAAACAATGTTTCTCCTGAAGAAAGTGACTTCCTTACTATTCTGGGTTATAGGAAAGGTACTGGATGGCCTCTGAAAAGTAGTCAACTTCTGATGATACAAATTACACAGTCAGGAAGCCTTGATCATTTCCTGATCCATTCCTACCTCACATGGTGGGAGTAAGTATTTATTAACAGAATCTTTTATTTTTTCTTTAAAGAACATTTGACAAGATTGATAATGTCAATTTTGGGTGTAGAATTTGGTTCTAAGGAAGTAAAATAACCCCAAATACTCACGAACACACAGCAATCTATTACGATGACACAGAATTACTCAGGGCACGAGACTTGGCATTCCTGTTTTTGGGCGCCTGGTCTGGGCTCCTTGTCCCTGACTCATACTGCATGACACTGAGCTAATTTAAATCTCCAAGCCTTAACCTCTACCCCAAAAATGGAGGTATAGGTGCTTGCCACATTTAAGTGGAACTACACATACTCTAAAACTGCATTTGAGATCTTGCCCTGAAAGGTATGATATAAAAATACAGCACATTTTATCCTACTTCATAGCCTTTGCATAATCTACTCCTTCTGCCTAGAAATGTTCTTTCCTTTCTTCTTCTTGCCCTGGCAAATACTTGATCCATTTAAGAACCGGCTCAAATTTCATCTCCCTATAAAATCCACTTAATCTCTCTAGGCGGCTGGTTGCCTACTTTATGTCTATGTATGATTATTTCATATTACTTATCACATTATGTTATAATTATTTGTTTATACATATGCTTCCCCAACCAGACTAGACTCAAGGAAAAGTATCATCCTTTTTTTTTAAATCTTCAGGGTATAGTATACTGGTTCATGCTTAAAATGCTTGTGTTCAACGAATGATAGAGACCCTCTCCTGCTTAAGTTCTTTACTTTCCCCAGGCCATTCTAACTCTTCTCATGGACCATTACTCTGTCCTAAAGCAATCTTTAAACTTTATCCATGTATCTACTGGTTTATTATATGCCAGGTACTATAACTTAGTCCTAAAACTTTGTCTAAGCCCATTTTAGGAGTAAACTCCTAAATTCTGAATAGGGTAATCTTCTTCCACAGGTAGTTGAAAAAAACTTCATCCTTGAGACCAAATCCACCTTGATGACCTTGTTCTTTCTCTTCCATATCCCACGCTGGAGCCTCTCTCCCACCCTGCTCTTAGATTAACCAAGCACTCAGGCTTGCTAATTAGAAGCTAAATGGGGGGTGGGGAGGGAGAAGCAGCAGCTAAATAGGTGTTGGAAATTACATGCTGCTAAGAAAACAGACGTGTCCTTCTCCCTCCCCTTAATTTCATACAAATTTACCAATTTTATTCACTTCCTAAGTCTTCAGAAATATGTGTGACAGGCTAGACCACAGTATTACCTAACTTCAGCCCTGGAGAAAAAAAATCCCATTATTATTTGATTATGTTCCACATACCCTAGTAGTTAAAGAAATGTGTTCCTATATTATGTCTGCACTTTGTAGCTCCAGGCCATGTAACTTCATTTACAAATGGACCCTGAGCATGTGTAAGGGTAGCAGATATGCACCAAGTTGTCATGAGCTGTACTCTTACTATCTCTCCCCCCTCTATTCCCACCCCCTTGGTTCAAACTCATGTCACCTCTTGGCCAGACAACTCTAAGAGTCTACTATCTAGTCTCCTTATTCTCCACTCCAATCCAAATTCCAGTTCCAGAAAGTTATCTATCATGATGTTACTCTTTTACTTAAAATCCTTCAACGAAAAAGAAAAAAAGTCTTTCAAACCTCAACTTTGCATGGCTTAGATAGGGCTATCAACTTGAATCCAGTCTATATTTTCAGACTGATCTCTAGTTACTTTCCAGATCATGCTCTCCATATTGTGCATCCAGAGGCTGACCAAACTAGCCTCCAGACTTAGCACTGCATTTTTATACCTCTATGTATTTGCTCATAACCCTCTGATTTAAGATGCTTTTTTCTCTACTTGCATCTTTATTTGCCTTGTAGGAATTACTACTCATACTCTTCAAGGCCCAGATCAAATATTACCTGCTCTGCAAAGTCTTTTTTTTAATAAAGATTTTTTAATGTTTATATATTTTTGAGAGAGAGAGAGCACAAGCAGGGGAGGGGCAGAGAGAGAGGAAGGCAGAGGATCTGAAGCAGGTTTCACGCCATCAACACAGAGCCTGATGTGGGGCTCAAACCCATGAACTGTAAGATCATGACCTGAGCCAAAGTCAGATGCTTAACTGAGTCAGCCACCTAGGCACCCCTTTCTTGACACCCTCATACAAAATCTTTCATCTATCCTCTAAGAGGATTTGTATTTTCTTTAGGATGTGTTACACTGCATTTTCTTTCTTTCTTCTTCCTTTCTTCCTTTTCCTTTTTTTTTCTCTTTCTTTCTCTCTCTCTCCCTACCTACCTACTTACCTATCATCTCTTCTAACAGGCCAAACTCCCTATCAAGAGGACCATGTCTAAGTCCTTTTTGTAATACCCAATATTTACCTAAGGTTCAACACTTTATAATTCTCAAAAGTGTCTACTTAATGATCATCTGTCCTCTTCTTACCCTCCCCCTCATTATCTGCTTCTCTTCCAAAAACTGTGCTATTCATTATCTTTATCTATCTTCAACTATCTAAATTCAATATCCCATTCTTCTGAGATCTAACTGAAAAATTTTGTTCACAGTGTTGTGGAAAAAGTTGGAATACAGATATCCTAGTCTAGAGGAGCTCTTAATCTATTCAGAGTACAAGATTCATTGTTAAATAAGGACACTAACAGAAGACAGAGTAGCTGTTAAAGGAGTTGGAAAACTGCAAATAGGGAAAGTTTCAGTTAAAGATGCCATTGAAAAAACAAAAACATGTTTCCTGTTGGCCTAAGTTTGGGGAAATTACACCAGATTGAAAATTACACTGTTTATTAGCATTAGCAAAATTTACAGTGTATATTAGCATGTTTAAAGGGTTCAGAAAGCTCAGAATTTTTTTTTTTTTTTTTTTTTTTTTTTTTTTTTTT